CTTTGGTCAGTAAGTGGATCTAACCCGCAGCGCTCTCGTTCCTTATAGCTACTTGCTATAAACGAAATGCGTTTAATAAGGCATTCATTGTAACAGGTTGCTAGTCCACTGCTCTCAGTTTTCGTATTAACCTTTTTTCTCCAACCCATTCTCGTAGCCATATAAGTGAAGTTTATGTCCTTGAAGGGATTCAATAGGTCTTACATGACCAAAAATTGGAAGGACTGTCGATACTGAGCGTCGTATCTACTTTGTTTCCATAATCCAGCACTCGACCTTCCGCCAGCCCCGACGGCGTAAAGGCACGTCCCGCCACTCCGTGCACCTCTTGATAAAGAATTTCATTATCAGCACACCGCTGTATGAATGTGTCCTGCAGATAAGCTCCTCGGACACCGGTGGCCGGCTATTTTTAATGAACAAGCTCAGTTCATACAATATTCAAATCGTTATCTTAGGACCGGTGAAATAGTAGCATCCTAACCTAAATGCACACACCGTCTAATTAGAAAATGGCCAGTAAGTACATTTAGGGAACGGTCTGTTACAGCAAAACCGTCTTTATAATAATTATGTTTCAAAGTTCAAACTAAATATGATTAACATATTTAGTTTGTGAAATAAAATGATATTTGATTTATGTGTTATTAAGCCAATAGAGCTACAAAAATTCATAACTTATTTGTAGTCGAGTCCCCTTCTGTTTTGCTTGAACTTTCGAGATTATGCAAATGTATTTGCAGCTTAGTTTTAGTAAATACTGTTTGATGTATATCCTTTTTGGGCACTAAAACTTTGAAATTGTAATTGCGAAACTCCTAACAACTATTATCCAGTAATATTTAAATGATTCGCGTACAAAGCCACAAGTTGTAAATACCCCTTGTTTTTGTTCGTGTTGATCCTTTGTTTCATAAATATCAGTACACGGACCATTTCTCATTTGTAATGATTATTGTTAGCAACATAATGCGTGTTTCTTCGACATAGCATTAAGTGGATATTGCTTATTGCCCTAATTTATGTCGAGACGTTGAATGTCAGAAGGTTGTTACAGTGGGCGGCGCTCCTAGCGCCCGTCCGCGTCACTCCAACGAGGGCTTGCGGCTGTTTGTCATTACACAGAATGAAGATGAGAACAGGTTCATAAACACTCACCAGTGTACACTACTCAAAAACTTGACATGTATAACATGTGTTTAGCTTGTGTGAATATGCCCTTAGGGTGCGCTGTATGAATACGGCCGCTGATGCCGCGGTACTTGTAGGTAACTGGATATAGTTTGTAGGAAGCTCGTTACGCCGCTGTACCGCTGCGTTTGATTGCTGCGCAAGGGGAATACTAATGTTGAAACGTATGCGATTGATCAAACGGATTCAACGGTTGCCAATCGAGAGGCAAAGCTTCCAGAGTGTACCATTTTAAGATTTATAAACTAATTCTCGGAATTGTGTATCCAATCAAAATTATTTAACAAACTGTTAGGAGTACTTACCTATAATATAATCGATATTGTAACTTTTATGTATATTTGGGAACGAAAGAAAAACAAGGGAGTTCCCACGGATGTTGTAAATCAACATGAGGAAGCAGTATAATGTGTTCCTCACAAGAGATCGGTCCCGCTCCACATTATTTACGTTGGCATAGCTTCGGTATCATAACAGTTTAAAGTCAATTAGTTCTCACTTAATTCAAAATTAAGTTCTCACAGTTTATATTATAAAGTACTCATGTTATTGAAACTTCAATATCGTTATCTAGAAGCTTCCTCCAGCAAACACAAACAAGTCAATAAAACTCAATTTCAAATAAAACGTACACTAAGAGTAAAAAGTATATTGATTTTATCGACTCGAGGTTATTTAATTATAACTGGTTGATTTCGGTTTCGTTTTATGCGACCGTTGACAGAAAAGTTCGCTAACAAAATTGTCCCGCCGAAGTTTGGCGCAGACCGCCCCTCGCGTGTTTGTCAAAAAGTCGCTTTCGGCATCGTTAGACCGCTCTTAGTGTCCCTGATTAGTTTTTATAGCAGTCTAATTCAACTCCGCTTTAACAGGAAGGGAGAGCGGCGCGGTGTTTCATGGTCATCCGCTAAGCGGTAGTAAGGGATTACGCTCCGAGCACACCGCAGCTTTGACGTAACGACTCTTCGACAAACTTCCCGAACATTCTAATTTAGTATTCAATTCAAAATTCAACGTCATATCCTTTTAACTACGGCATACAGCACTTTCTCAAATTATAATAAAGTAACTGCTTCAAATGATATAAAATTCTAACATTTATAACAGATAAAATTGTACTTAGGTACTGAATGTGGAAATGAGACGATTTTATTGTGAAGACACTATAATATCGTAGGTACTTTAGACATCAAAAAGATAAACAAAGGAACCATAAATTACACAAAGTTTAGTTAATTTAAACTTCTAGATTTTACATAAATGTTTATAAAAGGGCTCCAGCTTGATCAAATCGAAATTATATTGAAGAAGACGTACAAATAGACTGACCTAATAACAAAGTTTGTCGTAGAACTAACATTAACACAAGTTGTGAGTTCAACCAATATTTGTAGTTACATAATATAATTTGATTTGTAATTTTGCATTAGTTGGGTGTCTTCGAGGCTTTGTCACCAATTCGTAACAGATGAAGTCGGAGTAAGCGGCAGGTCGGTAGGCACCTCCATTGTTTTCCATGTCACCAGCGGCTTTACGTCACTGGAGATAAAGACTAGATTACTGTAGCTTGGCTTAAAAGCCTCCGTATGTTTGCTAATAAAGCCGCCGGACATTTTGCCCGGAGGAGTCCTAATTTATCATTGTTAGAGTGCGCCTCAAACGAAAGCAATTTCCGTCTAAAATTCGTTTTTTTAGATACGATTTCTCCCGAGTACTCAGCTTAGAGTTCATTTGATGTCGTCCAATTAGGATTCTATTACAGAAGCTTTCAAAAAGAACATGATCAAATTCATTTATAGGAATACATCTAGATGTTTAATTGCATAAGTACTTAATCAGATTGACCAAAGATATGCCAACTTTGTTCCAGAGTTCGATATGTATCTATTTATGAACTTTAATGTCAGAACTTTGTACAATAACTAATAGAAATATTTGCTTCAAATGTACACAAGACTGACTGTCAAAACGGAAATGAACGAAGCGGAGAGGAGTTGAAAAATATACCGATATCATCTCGGGGCTGGGAATCGTGGAAATTAAAGGATTCTATTGTTTGACTCTGTACAGTTATTCTCTCTTATTCGTCCTCATTTCTGTAGATAAGATAAGAATTCAGACTTTATTGTAAGCAGGGGTAGATACTAATTCAAACAACGAATTGTACGAACGTCAAAAGTGAACGCTATTGCCGATGTTCTATGTTTCTGTTTTTAATAAACAGTCAGTTGTAAATGCACGACTATTGCCTGCGAACGAAACTCGTCTAACATTCAACGACTGGCGAATTTGAAAGCGGCTTCAGATCGCGAGTCTATCGAGTATATAAACACGTTTCATACACGTAGGCCCACAAATTCATAGAACTGTGCATAATTCACGTTGACGTACAGTTTCTCGCAAAGGTTTTTACTTTTTACTTATCTATTGGAGCGAGAGACCTCAGATGATAACCAGTGATTCGTGAACAAGTTCCTGTTCGCTGTTTGCCATTTCTTTTGCCATTACACGGAATTATTTGGGCGTAATAATGGTAAATTTTTGGACAAATTGCTTTTATGGCAAAAGTAACGTAATAAAATCTCGTGAAAAAATAAACTCTTGATTGACTGCTTATTAGGGCTTCCATCCCGGGAGTCTCGGTCTCGAAAATCCCGAGAGTCTCGACGATTTTTTCATGTTTTCGAGACTCGAGACCTCAGCTCCAATTTTCGAGAATTTCGAGACTTTCGAGAGTTAGTTCAATAATCTACAAAAAATACCAATCTACTAAAAAAATCTACTAAACTACCATTATTATTTTAATTAAGTGACGTGGCAACACTGTAAAGTGAAAGTTAGGATAATCTGTGGAGCTTGCAACTTAACCTCAAACAACATACGTTCACATCACAATAAAACGCTTATTGTATCTTTATAAAAAGTGTGAATTATATAGCTTGGCAACAATGTGTTCCTTAGCAGAGAAATTGAAAGGTATGTGTCTTATTCATGTTAAAAGTATACGTCACAAACAAAATCATTTTAGTTTAAGAACAGCTAGCGTGTGAGCTTGAAAACTTGCTAAAGCCTCAAAAAATAGAAACACAAACTAGCATCCATGACTTGCAAACGACTTTGCATGTAGAAAAAGCTCTCTTTGAGAACGGTGGTGACAGAGGTAAGCATTTAAATCAGTGCTATAATTATTTACTATCCATCCCCCCTACTAGTATCGAAGCAGAGAGAGCTTTTTCAAATGCAGGGTACTTTTGTAACAAAATCAGATCCTCTTTATCTGAAAAGTCATTGAATGCCCTTTGCTTTCTGCGTGCATATTTTAAAAATGAAAAATGTTAATTTTATATAATACATTTGTTTTTTTTTGTAATAGTTGATTAATAAAGTGCATAATTGAAACATATTGTTTTATTTGCCTAATTGTATAAACCTTGAGTATGAAACTTATTTAGTCTCGAAAGTCTCGTTTTTCCCGGGACTCCCGGGACCGGACCCAGTCTCGATTTTTTTTTCCCGGGACTCGAAAATGTATCGAGACTGGAAGCCTTACTGCTTATTGATGTTAAATTGTATTTTATAATATAATTCAATAGTTTTGTATTCAGAGCGCACCCGCCCTATACGTAATGTCAGTTTCGCACTGAAAGCTTTCTTCTGTTCTCGCGCAATACATCATTTTATTTTATAGCCAAACAGGCGAGCTCCGATATTTCTACCTACAATGGATACGAGTGCCTTCTCAATAGCGTTGTCGCAACGAGTGTCCCCCAATATGTACTGTGTACCTGACTTCAGCTTCTTTTTTCCAGTAACTAAATTCATCCGCATCGGGATCGCTGACAAGAATGACAACCCACCGTATTTCGACAAAGAGCTGTACGAGGCGGAGGTCGACGAAAATGAAGACATCCAACACACCGTACTCACCGTCACCGCCAAAGATCACGATGAATGTAAGTACATAGCTGTTACGTAAATCATGTATGAAGTTATAAACTGACACAAACGCTTCACAAAACGTACACACAACCCTTCTCTCACGATAGCCAATATAGCAAGTGGCGTGTGTATATAATAAATATAGGAGACGACCCTAATACGGGACTACACTGCAACAAGGAAAGAACATCGAAAAGAAAACAAAAAGTCCCGCACATGGCCGCTATATTTTATGCCATCGGATCAAGTTCCGCTTAACTTTGTACAAAGAAAATCACTCGCTGTGTCCCAAAGATATTCCGCCTTACACACGGACTGTAATCGAATGGTATTAGCTACGAGAAGAATAAAATAACTCAGTAAAGACGATATTGCGTACCAAGTCTTCATAATATACCTCACCTGAGCGCTGTGTACATAGATTAAGGGTTTCACTCTTGTACCATTTATTGAAATCGATTGTCCCGTAACTACTTAATACCAGATTCTCATCAATGTAATAAAGTTGTAAGAGCTTCATTTATTCACGGGAATAATGCTCGGAACGTGCACCGATAAAATCAATAAAAATGACATTTCAATCATGCTCGCTATGTTCACAACTTACTTTCACAATATTCGAATTCTCTCTCAAAATATAAAAACAGATTTTTGTCGGCTTTTATGAATACAATTTTCGATTTTTTGTAAATATATTATCAGGAGTAGTGCTGTATCTAGAGAATGGCGATGTTTCAACCGGGGCTCGGAGAGTACGTAAAACTGTCGATCTGAGTTCGTAAAATACAGACATCAGACCGAATCTAGTTCAGGCTCAGCGCCGACCCCGAGCTACTTGGAAAAAGGTCATGAGAAGGAAGAAGTTTTGAATAATGATATTGAAAGGGGTTTTTAATTTAGGCAAGCTTATGAAACCTCTAAAGCAAGTGGCTGGCCGTCGATAATAAATCTTTAACATAATTGAAATAAGAGTCAATCTTTTTGAATGAATTTCGCTAAAAGCTGGATTGACAAAGCATTTTGTACTTGGTATGTATTTTTCTTTAGCCATTGTTCACACGCTTTGTTCCGCTGACGCTTTGTCCGCATTCTTTTAAGTCGATCTAAGAAATTGATGTAGTTATTATTGTTATTAAAAAGTAAGCATTGTTGTAGTTTCCGGTTTGAAATTACCTCGTAATAACCTATTTCTTGACTGTTGAGGGCTTTTCGGGTCATGCTCAGACTTATGTGTTTATTTATGTGGTACAACGTAAGAATTTTAGAGAAAGTATAGGACGGTTTGACGTGTGGGTACACCACTTCTTGTTTACATTTTTTATATTAATTTAAATAGAACTATGTAGTGTGGATTTATGTCAACCCATCAAAGGTCACAAATCCAGATTTAGTTTTATCTTCGTAGAACTGACAAAAATCGATTACACTCTCGCCTTCCAAACCGGACAGAAAGTTTTTTATTGGCAATAGCTATAAATATCATTTCAGGATCAAATGGATTAAAAGGGGATATAAAAATCGTGGCTATGAACACACCCGTAACATCGAGGGTACAAATCTGTGTATTTTATATCTCATGACGACATTTTCAAGATATTAAACACATAAATTTTACATTGGGATAAGCCGCATAAGCATTTTCTTTTGTAAATAAAGCCGAGAAGGACATTCGTTTGGAAATATTATATAAATATTATATTACGTACATTCAGTAAGCTGTACGTGTTACTTAATTATAAATTTATTTAACGGTACGGGAGCGTGGCCGTGATTTAATCCGTTTTGAAATTTCTCTTTGCGTATAATGAATACACTATTTTTATAAGCTTTTATACAACAAATTAGAGATGGGACACATTATACTGATACTGATACTTTTTATAAGGATAATGTTAACGTAAAAATCATTAAAGTATCAGCTTTTTAGAAGTAAAGCAAATATTTTATTTATTGGCTCAATTAAAAAAAATCGGAAGAGCTTGTAAAACCTTTAGATGTGTTTTAATCGTAAATACATACTGTGCCGTTAGCATATTTCTTCTTAACGAATGCTAAACTATTCCGGAGCATGTTATGAGAAAATATGATGTTACTCATGGCGCACTGCATGCCCACGTACATATCGGTTATCCAAGTTGTGACGCTTTATAGCTACCGTTATTATTTCGTAGTGCCAGTAGACTCAACGTTATGAATATTGCTAGCATCGACAGTGTCATCGGGCTGTGGAGAACCAGTTTCGAACGCTGAACACGAAAGTTTCATACGAGGAGCGAGAAGTGTGCCTACGTACGACGTCACAGGCTAACAACTGTAGCGCTTTCGTTTGATCGATGAGTTCGCACAGTTGCTGCGATACATTATATCAGAGAATTTTGCCTTCGCTCAGCGCTGTTACACGGCACGGCGCCATGCCTGTGTCGCCCCTCTAATACGGTCCTTATTAAACTCACAACCTTTCCCTACCTTTTCATAATGACATTACTGACGCAAATTGTCTGACTTGATAATATAATTAACTCAAGATGGGTAATGCTTTATATTACTGCCAATCTGGCCGTGATGAAAATACTCTACGCAGGTAGAACTAGTTCAGCCGTAGTATTTTATATCACCCGGTAGACTATTTTGGAGGTGGGTACGAATTGAAAGTATAATAAAATTTTCTCTTGGTACATCGTAAATCTTTTGGGGTCGCTGATGTCCAGCTGTTTATTTTCACCAAGTGCTAGTCAATAATGAAATTGAATTTTACTTTTTGCGTCGTCGGCGCACAGAATACCATTTTGTAACAGATTTATCTCGGTGGCCATTTTTTAAATTAAATTGGGTCACTCTAGCTTGTAAACTATCCTTGATGATGTATAGTTAAATAAAAGACAAATAAAATTATAGAATTGCGGTTCCAACTTTAAAACCTAAACGTCTAGCCTCCTTTTCTTTATTAAAATGATTCTGGAGCAGTTGTTGGAATTACTTGAGTTGGTAGGTATAATTGATGATAGAGCAAGATCTCGTTCTGTAGAAGTTATAAATTCTTTTCGTCGCTGGAAAACTTACGTAGCCGTAGGTCCTACAAACGTTTAAGAGCTCTCTAACATTCAGTCGAAAGTGTTTTCAATCTTTTATTGTTACTTCTGTCTACTTTTATTAAGTATTTTTCTTTTGTTATGCTATTGAATTATTTACTTTATTCTAAACAGCAAATACATTTACATCTAATTGCGATAAACACAAAAAAGATTAGGCTGTACGCAAATATATACATTTGTACTTATTTTTGTCTCGCATTACTTAATGACGATATGTATTATTAGATTATATTATCGAAAATATGAACTGAATAGGATAATATGACGGTACCTATGTATCTAGATTATCTTCGTACAGGGACAAAAGTAACAAAGAACTTATTTATACACTGAGCCCAGCGGCTGAATCCATATTAGATTTTGAACAAATAAAAGAAAAATCTTATTGTTATTTTCTTTCCGAAATTAACTTTGGCGAAAGGGCAGATAAACGTATGTGCTCAAACAAAAGTGTAACTAAGCGTGTCTTTGGTACACAAACTCCCAAGTAGTTATTGTGTAGTTGTATTGTCAAGTGTTAGAACGTTTCCAAGTGTGGCGCAACTCCGCAACTCCACATATTACCAAGAATAAATGACACCCGCTAAGCTAGTGATGTCATTGGACAATAAACAAAGTTGCAGTTGCACATGGCAGCGTCGCTCTTACAATACGAATCTTGTATCAACTTGGTGAAGTTATCTCGTGAGTCAGGTAACTATTTAGAAATGGATCCTCGTGCAAACCACTCGGCTCTGTATTGTGCCGTATCGTAAACATCCCAGTCGTTCTGTCGTAAAGACAAAGGGAAAATGACATAACATCCCATCCCACTGGCTTACTTGTTACTGCTAAATAAAAAACATTGAGAACATCGAGATCCACTCAATTTCACGAGTACCAATTTCATGAATTTAATTTCGTGAAATCGTTCAAGTTAGTAGTGTCAAAGTTTAAGTAATGACCTCGGTCGCACTTGAATAGAATTCCAATGTTTCAAAGGTCAATATGGCTGGTTTATAGATAGATCTACTTTATAAAGACAAAGTAAAGAGACGTAATATTACTATATTCGAATCGTTTTTTGTTGTAATCGCGTCGCATCATGCCTCTTAGTATTGCCACGGGCGCTTACTGCTGCATTCTTTCGTATTAAAATCTCCGTCCCCAACAGATGCCGCCGAGACGTACCGATTCAATCTTGCTTTCAAACTGCCTCCGTTTCTTTCCTCGAGAAAATTAAGCGAGAACTGTGGGTAGATAGAGAATACACTACATTTTCATAACAAATTAGAATTTTATCTGGCATTGTAACCGGACCAGTGTGATCGTTCTGCATACACTCCGGCTAAAATATGGTTTCATTTTAAATAATGACTCTATTTGCGCCAAGGAAGTGTAAATATATTTTTAAAGATAACGCGCAGGTTTATTGCGTGTGTACGTGCAGCAGCCGGGTTGTTCTAGCGCCAACGTGTAAAAATATTTTTGTTTGCGAAACGGTCGTTTGCCGTCTTTTAATATAGAGGCAGCGTAGCAAGACATAAATAGCTTACGCTGGACTTGTTTCTTTGTGACCCAACTAATAGTTTCTAATAATGTCTGTAGATCTAAGTTTAGATTGATTTAGATGGCAGCCACTCTAAAGAACCAAATTCGTCTTGTTAATCAAGTGAACCGTATCTGAGAAATGTTTCCAAGTAACGACTCATAAGTTAGATGAAGTGGTTCTCTAAAATTATTTTCATGAAGAGAATTTGATACAATACATGTCGTGCTACTCAATGTGAGTTATTAATTTGAATGCCAAAAAAGGTCTGGCCGAGAAATTAAATCGAAAGTTATTTTTCTTTTGAGTTAATGGATTTTTTGCGGTAAATAGAATGTCACGAACAAAGCTGACATCGTCCGTTTACAATAAAAAGTTATTTTGACGATATTTT